GAGAAGGGGCGAGCATCGGCAGCCATTGGGCATGAGCCCTGGGCCAGCGGCGCTCAGCGGAGACCGCCTGTGGTCCTCGGTGGCGTGTGGGTCAGCTAAGGAGCGGGTTGCGGTGTGCCAAGGGGAATGCCGGTGCCCTTGTAGCCCAGAGTGACGTTTCCTCTTCCTTTTCCCTTGGGTGTGATGGGGAAGGGCGATGAGTGGTTTCATCTGTGCCTGTGACTCTCGCACCTATTCCCGGTTTGAAGTGATTGGTTTCTCCTCCCTTGAAGTGCAGTTAGGGGCTGCCTGCGCGTGCAGGAGCTGTGAACCAGGCTCGTAGCTGATATGCCTCTGGAATAACGCCTGCGATAGCGATGGAGCAGAGGCAAGGCTTTGGGGGAAGAGCGCGGCTGGAGAACGGGACGTTTGCCATGAGTTACAGCTTGTTACGGCCCTGCTACACAACCCGCTTGCTGTCCTGGTTTGGGGTCGGGATGTTGGGGCGGTCCTAAGTGCTACAAGGTGGGTAGCGAAGTGCTGAAGGGCAACCCGTGCTCCAGAGCAGAGGTGGCACCGCGTGGTCCCGGCAGCATCGTTGCAGGATGCGTGCGTGGGTGGGATTTGAAATCGCAGCGAAGGTAAAGGGAGGGAAGCACGTACTCAGCTGCTTTTTGGGAAATGGAGCCAGAAGGATCTGCAGGTGCTCGTCGCAGCGAGCGTAGCTATTCACGCGTTCTTCTCGGCCGTGAAAGCCCAGCTTCTTTCTCTGGCCCTGCTAAAAAACAAGAGGAGCCTTTGCCTGCTGTGTCTCTGATGCCCTCGAGGATTTTTTTTGGTTCCCAGAGGTGCATTATTCCTCTCTGTTGTGCAGACCATTAGCGCTGGTGTCTTTAGTGCCAAATAGTTGGGTTCTCTTCTGGTTGCACTCATGGTTCAAGTAGCTGCAGCCTCAGAGCAGTTTTGAGATACGCGGGAGGGGGATGCTGCGAGCAGCGTGGCTGCTGCCTGCCACCAGTTCTCGTGCTGACGTTCGCTGCTGTGGCCTCTGCTTTCTTCCAGTCTCGACCAGCGTCTCGGGCGATGGTGAAAGCAGTGTGGGGGGAGCCCCTTCCCCGGGGGCTCACAACACGGATTTCTTCCCGCAGGAGAAGGTGATGCTGGGGAAGGTGCGAGGGACGCCATCCCTGTCCTGGTCTTTGGCAGAGCCGGCAAAGCCTGCCGAACCGTTGCGCGTCTGACCGCGAGTCCCAGCAGGGTGCAGGCACTGTCCCCAAAGGGGACTGTGCCTGTGGATGGGAACTGCTGGGGGGACAGGGGACATGGGCATGGTGGGACGTGGGCGAGCAGGTCCATGTGGTTGATGGCCATGAGTCAGTACCCCCCGGAGCAGGCAGCCCGGCAGCTCCGCAGCCAGAGAGTGACAGACGGCACCCGTGATCTGCCCACAGGGCGAAAAGCTGCTGCGGCTGGAGAAGGCGATGGGTCGCCTTTCTGGTTTGGAAACAGAAGCAAAGCAGAAAGATGCGGTGATAAGAGACCTGCAGGATGAGATTGCGGCGATGGCAAAGGCCCTGGCTCAGGCGGCGGCGAGGACCGAAGTAGAGCTGACCCAGAAGCTGCTCGCCTTCGACCGAGAGCTGGGAGCCAAAACGGCGGAGATCAAAGCCCTAAGGGAACAGGTACTGCATGCTCCGATAGGCGCCGAGCAGGGAAAATACCCCTGTGCTGTGTGGGTGCTTTGAGTTCCACACCCCATCTTTAGGAGCAGCGGGTTGCGCATCTGAAACCAAGGGAAACGAGGGAGGTTTGGTGTAATTTTTTTCTTCCAGTTTTGGTTTGCGCGTTTGCTTGTTTTCTGTGCACGTTTCCCCAAAAGAAGCTGGTAAATAAATACCCCACGTGTGTGGTAGGGTCCCCAGTGCCGTAGTGGGGAGAGAAACAGGAGCCATGAGCAGCCTTTGGTGGGGGAAAGGCACGCACGGCCGCCTCCGGCCAGGCAGCCAGAGCCCTCGCTTCCCTCTCACCCCGGGAAGGGGCTGGGCAGTTGTGTGTGCAGGGGGAATACCCATCCCAAAGGCAGCACAGCCCCTTGGCATCCTGGTGAAAATAGGCGGCGGGGTAGAGGAAAGGGGGCGTACAGCTGTCCCATCCAGGGAGACATTCATAGCGCATGCCAAGGCCTCGGGAAAGCGTCCTGGGGAGATGGTGATGGAGTCACCTGAGGCTCTCCAGCCTGGGAAAAGGGTCAGTCAAAGGTGTGGGTCTGATGCAAGGCACCCAGGTCAACAGCCGGGTATCTTTGCTAGCCCATCCTGGCTGCACCCTTCCCCTCCCGGACCACGCTGGGTCCAAAGGTGGCTGTGAAAAGCTTTGTGCTCCTCCTGACTGTCTGTGCTAAAGGGGAGCTTGCAGGAGGCAGGTTCCTGGTGGAGAAAAGGCGATGCAATGTTGGGGTGCTGCCAGCGTCGCTGCTGTCGCTGTGCAGTGCCTGGCGGCTTTCCTTTCCCTGACAAAAGCCTCTTCCACCTGTGGATTCGCTATTCTACACCCTCCAGTGATTGCTTTGTGAAACTGCTCATTTGAGCGGTGGGAAGCATCTTTGTGCTGTCTGTGCGGCGATGATATGCCAGCGTGGACGGTGCAGGCTATGCCCCGCTCCCCAGTTCCAGCAGGAACAGTAAAAACTGGTTTTTTGCAGCAGAAATGTGAACGGGAGTTATTATCAGCTCTGGTTGGTGGTAATAAATCTGTACGCCCCGAGAAGGTGATAAATCCGCAGGTGTTTCTGCAAATCACCTGGCCCCAGCCCTGGGTTCCCGGCGTGGCAGGCAGTGGGAGACAGTGCTGCTCCATGCCTTTTGGCTGGGGATTTGAGTGTGAACGGCCAAAATTACTTTAAGGTGATCCTACCCAAAGCAAGGACTGCTGAGAGCTAGTCAAAGATGCCAAAGAGGAACCCCATCAGAGCATGACCTGGGAGCGCCAGGTTTCCCTTGTCAAAGGGGGCTGTAATAGAGGTAATAAGCAATGCGGCGAGGAACGTGGCTGAATCCATGTTTTGCAGATGAGCGACCTGCAGAAAGGCTCGAGCCAGGTGTTCAGCCATTCCCTCTACGAAAGAGACCTGGAGATTGGAAGGCTGCGAAAAGAAAGCGAGAAGCTGAAGAGGGACCACGCTTTGGCCGCAGGTATTGCACCCCTGGGGCTCTGCGTAGGGGCACAGAGCAGTTGGGGATGGGCTCTTGATGCTGCAGGAGCAACGGTAGAATTGTAGGGGCTCATAGAAGTCGTCCTGCCTCCGATTCCATGTCCTGAAGCTCGGCGGGAGTTGCAGGCAGCGTCTGACGTGATGAGCGCCCCTGGAGCAAGGGGCAGCGTGGGGACCGCAGGCAGGCAGTGATGGGACCAAGGGCTTTGGGGGGAAAAAAAGCCTCCAGCACCGGTTGCAGGGGAGGCTCTGAGCTGCTTGAAAGCAGTGCTGTTCAATGGGCTGCCCTGGGGGGAACCTGCCTGCCCATGGGGCTGCAAAGGCCACCTCAGGCTGCCGGCCTTTTCCAGTGGCCTTTATCCGGCACGAGGAACGTCGCCTGCACACAAAACATTGGCTTTTGCAATGCATCCAGATTAGCAAAACTGTTCTGCCTGATTTCACCACCCCAGATAAGGGAGCAGGATGGGTGCTGGGCAGGGCGGAGGCGTATCGGAGCTGTGGATCTGACACAGCGAGGTGGCAAAAAAGGATTCGTAAAAGCTGCTCATCCTCCAGGGAGCATGTGCTGCAAGGCCCCGAGGAACTCGTTAGCGATGTTGTCGTGGAGCAGCATCCAGCACGGCGTGCTGAAAGCTGAATCCACTGTCCGAGCCCGACGGCTGTCAGGGAGGGAGGGTGGCTGCTCTGCGGCTGGAAGGCTTTTGCAGGGACATGCTCGGGCAGCCTCTCACTGGAGGTGGTGTTCTCAGGTCTGGCGACCAGCCTGCAAAGAGAGATGGCCGGGAAGGAGCAGAAAATCCAGCAACTCAAGCAAGATGTGGAAAAAATGAAGAAGGAGAACAGCAAAAAGGACGATCAGCTAGCAGTCGTTGCTGCCAAGGTTGACATCCCTACCGAGGGGCTCAGCGG